AACTATTTTTATTTGTAAATACTTTTTCTTTTGATTCTCCAAGCACATCTTTTGTTACTTGTTTAATAGTGTTTGTTACTTTATCCAACATCACATTTGCTTCTTCATGAATATCCCAAATTTTGAAATCTTGAATTTTACTCATAAAAATAATTTTATTTGTGTCTTTTAAGTTTCTCCATCTAATTCTGCAATGATGAGTCCTAGTATTTTTTATTTTACAACTCTTAATCTTAAAATCTAAAACTAATAAACGATGTTGGGTACTTAAATTTTCACTTGGAATGACCTTACAATCTTTACAATCGCGACGATCTCTTCTTCTCATAAGAAAATAATCAATTTGTGTTTTATTAGATCCACTCTTACAAGTAATAAGATGTTCATCTCTTTTCTTGAATAAAGTAAAAAGAAAATAATCTCTGTTCTTATCTTCAAGCATACAATCATATAATTGTATTTTTCATATTGGCCAATTGGTCTTTTAGAAAAAAATCAATCTGATTAGGTCTGATTTTATACTTATTACGCTTGCATTTAAACATACAAATATATAAATAGTTCCCTCCCCGTCTCTCTAAACGTGAAGATGAATAAACAGCTTCCACATTTCCTAATTCCACGGTTATGGCAAATCTTGAGCTCAAAAGATGATTTTGTTGGCATTGCTTAATTCAAAATTTCATAAAAAAACTGCAATATATAGCAAGTTTTATAGAAGAAAACATAAAGAAAAATAAACCTGCGTTCTTAACGGGTAGATCCTTGTATAAGGAAAACTGGTCATAGCTGTAAGACATTCAATTGCTGTTTCTCGTACAAGCTGAAAAACAAATACAAACTTACGAAGGTAACAAAGATAAATCAACCACAATGCCATTTAAGAATGAATAATAATAGAAGCATTTGACAGCACAAAAGTAATAGAACACATTAAGAAAGTATTGACACAGGCAGACATCTAACACCATGCCATACAGAAACAAAGGTAAAAGGAACATAAGGAAGCTCCTGGCGATAAGCTTGCCCCATTCATGTTAAAACCAAGGTGAAAACAAAACCTTAAGTATCATTCCAATTCTAAAAATGATCAACACTCTGAAGGATCGTTACATTGCAATGAAGATCGATTTTCATGAGTGGACCTTAAGTATCTTATCTATTCCAGGTGTTCTTAATATGCATGAACTGTAAAGCAGAACAGAAGCAAAGAAAATAATGGTGTGTCAGTACAAAACACCAGAAAACCCGTGCCTAAAAGAACATCAATAATGATAATAAAGACTATTATCATGTAAGCAATTAAATTTCCAATCAATCTAACCTACCATACAAGCTATAAAAAATAAATAATAAATATACAGAGCCGAGGCATAAATGTAGAATGTTTGGTATTTATCAAGTTACTATAAAAGAGGAGAGAATTACCATCATGTGAGGGTAAGACAACAACTTAATCAGGTGATTTACGACCACATGAACATAACCTATGATATCTTCCTTTCCTGCATTCAAGCAAATTTATATGAACAATAAGATAGCTGTAATCAATGACAGGAAAAAAAAAGATCATCAACCTTTTATTTGTGTACATCTTTTAACAATAATAGTAAATAGATAATTGTGAGAAAAGGGAATTTGCTTGCTTAATTTTTTTTTTGAAATACCTTAATAGATCCAACAGCCAGGAATGCTAATCAATCTCTTCATAATCAAGATAAGTTTGTAAACAGAATAGAGGATGAACAAGCATGGATCCTTTTCTTGAAGCAAAGTTATCAAGAAATCCACCGTTCAATCAACTCCTACGGACTATTAGACTGTCAACTTCTGTATCAAGCAATACAACAGAAGCATCTCCTCCTCTCTCAAATACTGGCATTGCTGGACACCAGAGCTGGTTTAATAATGGAGGAAATTTGCCTAAATGTAGAGAGTGCTAAAAGTTTGGAGGGAAAAATAGTGATCAGAAGCATTGGAATTGACAGGAAGAGAGAAGAAAGGAGTATTTTGACATATGAAAAATAGTAATAGAGAGACAGAGGAAAGAGAGATTATTGGGAAGGAGAATGAAGGTGGCTGTCAATAAACAAAAACTTGGGAAGGAGAGAAGTTAGGAGGGTTGGGAAATCTTGAGGAAGTTAAGGTGGACACCTAGGTAATAGGCAAGCAGCCAAAATCTTTCAGGGACTTCAGAATGATGTCAGAGAAAGGGACGAATGAAAGAGAATTAATATGAGGAAATCAAAATCACGTATGAATGAAGTAAAAAATTACAAAAGGCCGCCAAGTAGAGATGGACTTGAGATGGCATCAAGCTAAGGTAAAGGCATGGAGAATAAAGATAGTGAGTAAATGAACAAGTTAAATATGTAAGAGAATCAGTGAAGATCACGAAAAAATGTAGAGAATAACTAAATGCCAGTTAAACTGCCTAGACGAGCTTCTTTACAACAAAATATTCAATAATCAAGCCTATACTGCACATAAGAGCTTATTACAACAAACTACTCAATATTAAAAGCTCATACACAAATGGATTCATTTCATTAGTTCAGCATAAACTGCAATCTGATATCAACTTAAAATCATACCCAACCATTTTAGTTCATGCTTGGGATGATCAATATTGATTTTAGGTCAAGTATAAGGTGACTAACAACATTTTAAAAACACCAAAAATTTAGCATTTGTTCAACTGTATCGCTAAAAAGGTAAAATACCACAAAAGAATAGTATTAACACAACCGTAGAATATAATCTAAAGCAGCATGCGCAAAGAAGACTTGAGAAGTTAGCGGTTAGAAATAAATTGGATAATTATATAATAATAAAATGTGTACTCTTCTATGCAAAGTTGTAGTAAGAAAAAGGAAGATTTGTCTCCAATTTCTTACCCCCAATGAAACACAAAATTTATTGCCAATTGTATAAGCAATCACAAAGAAAACATAGCATGTCATAAAAATAATGCACAGATAAGAGGTAAATCTGACACCAAATGTTCAACTAACTAAACCATAGATTATACTTAAAATTCGGACATGATTGTGAGGTAAGAAATTCAATTGATATTGTTTCAACTTCCATGTATATATCTTGTTGATGCAGCATTAGCATAACCCCCAAGATTGAAAGAAACCCAAACATAAAAACGTTTATGGGTTTGCATAGATTTCTTCTGAATCCACAGCATAAAAGTTGAACTTCCTATTAAATAATAGTCCTGTTTTTAAGAGAAAATCATAAAGTCCAATAGCAATTTCAACCTAATGTATTAATAATCAAAGCACAAAATTTTAGACTAGTTATTATTTCAATTGATAAGGTTTCTACATGCCATTTCACTGTTTAGGGTTAGAGGTGAGGGAACCTCATGCCATGTGTTGTAGCTTCACCTTTCTCATCAACAAGAAACCCAGACAGCACTAAAAGCAGGCTATATATCAGATCTTTGTTGAGAATATCAGGATCTAAAACAGATAAACTATCCAATAACAATGGCAAGACCTGCAGAACGAAAAAGAAACCAAACTCAGTGAAGTACAATATGCTTTCCTCAAAATGAAGTTTTATGACGACTAGAGACAAAAAATCTCCGAAACAAACCTTGTTTGCATCTGCAATTAGAACGGTCAATGGCATCCCAGAAATAGTATGACCAAAAGCTCGGTAAAGTAAAGCTCTGCATTTTGTGAGTAGAATCACTAAAATGGTATAATAATCATCAACATAAAGGTTAAAATGACAGACAAAATTTGGAACTGAAACGTAGTCCCACTTCAGCTATTCTAGAATATAAAATTATATGCGTACACTTGGCGAAAAACAAGATAAATGGCACTCAAATGGCTCAGGAAGCATCGAATAGCTCACCATTCGAGAAAATAATCAAAGGCCACAGGATTTGCCTTTACAAAAGTGGTTCATTTAGTAGCTTACCAAATAATTTTCCTTCTTCTCAAACCAAGTTATGATTTTGTTCAACAGAGGAAACATCTCAATTTATGTAACAAGAACTAACATGAGAATTTCCGGAAATTGCATATGAAAAGTATTCAAATTTAACACCATAAATGTTTATCCTGCATTATATAGACAGCAAACTCAGCATGTTCAGAAAACATTGAACAAAAAAAAAGCAAAAAACTGTATTCAATACTGTTGATTGCCTAGAGATTTATTTCACGGGTTCAAGTAAGAAAAAAATACTCAAATCTAGTGTTCTAAAATGTATGCAAGACAAAAAATGTTGAAATGCCGAAGTAAGCGTAAATGTTGTGAGGCGAGCTAGACGTTTGCATAGGCACTCAAGCAATGTGAAGTAGACAAGCACTATTACCAATGCAATTCTAAACAAGCACAAAGCCTTAAGACACCAAACAATAAAGGGGGCACCATGCCCAGTCACAACGCAATAGGCAATAGGCAATAGGCAATAAGAAATTTTCTTGATTTGAGATTTCCTAATACTTTCGAAGTTAAAGATGAACCCATTTTTTAGAGTAATAACTTTCAATTGGCAGGGAATTGGTATCAAGGGTTGTAGAAATGTTAATGTATTCATGGAAAGCTACATCAAATGTATGAGCCAAAAACAAACTACATCAAATGTGTTACTAGTAAATCTTGAGAATGAAGAGAATGAGTGCTATAAGAAAAGAAAATGAAGGGATACAAAATTAACTGCTAGAAAATTGAGCATAAATAATGAAAACACATAATAAGCATTGGATTAAAATACATGAGAGATATAAAAGCTTAAGTCTTTTAACTGTACACTTTTAAGATAAAACAATTTAATAAGAATTTTGAACTTGGAATGAAATGAATCTTCAATGTTCATCAAGTTTTGCAATATAACCATGTGATAAATATTTTTTTTATAATATTAAAAAATACCAATTATACTTCAAGTGATAACTATTTCCTCTTTAACAGCTCACTTGGGTGAGTATTTATGAAATGTATTTTCTTGAGAGTGAAGCACTTGACAAAGCATTTACATGGTGAAACTCAGCAAGAAAAAATTTTCTCAAGGAAAAGGAGACTTATGGTCTACAGTACAGAAATGAACAAATTTACTACTCATAAGCCCTTAAATAAAGAGAAGGAAAAAAAAAAATTAAGGGTTCAAAAGTGTTACTTTGTTCTTGATGAATTACATTCCTTAATGACTGAGTGCAAAACAGGCAGCATGCTCGAGAAGAACCTTTGCTTATAAAGAGGTCTTATAATTGCATGGAAATTTTTATTCAGGCAAACATCGGAGTCACTCAAAATCAAATGGAAAGCATCTGCTGCTGATCTTGCAACAAGATGCACATCCTGGTAAGATGATGGAATAGTGTTTTGACTTGAAAGCAAACACTTCATAATAGCCATTGCTATGTCTTTAACTCGACCATCTCCCCGCATTAGTAGGGCTTTCCCAAACCATGCCATCCCGAACAAAGCATTGATTTGTAAGTTTAAATAAAAATGCAAGGAATCTCCATCATTGCTGTTAAGAATAAGAAGTCTGTTTTGAAAGTTATTGCTGAGTACACTGCAAAAAGTGTCCAGAATCATCTCGATAGTTTCTGCAGGGATATAAGTATTTGAGGATCTCAGTCTGTCAACATCTAATGATAACTTGTTAACCAAAGAGGCCAAGGCTTGAGCTGCAGGAAGATGGCCTTTTAGTGTAAAAACTAACAGAAGATTCAGCAGTTTTGCAGCATTAGTTAGCGGTGTCTGCTGATGAAGAGCTGTCACAGTCGATGCAAGAAAATACAGAAGCCATTTATTTCTACTTGTTAATTCATATAAATGTTGATTAAAATGCAACCCTTCCAATATACTGCAAGAAGATAAGAGAGACTCTGATGGAAAGTTGGTAGATTCTAGCATAATATTATATGCCTTTTCTAGAACTCTATACTGGTTGCTCACTGCACAGCCACTAACAACAAGTTTCACTGTCATCATCATTTTATCCAGTAGATCCTACATATAGAATACAAATAAGTCATCAGAAATGAATATGGAGGTTCTCATGTCTTTCTAATTTATTTAATCATCTGCAACATCAATCGTGCATCCATATAGCACCAAGCAGCTTGCTAGGCATGTTTAAGATGTTGTAACAAAAATTAACTAAGTTTGCTCGAGATGTGATATCAGCCAAATTGGTTTATACTCCAAAAAAAAATATCAAGCACCATTACCTGCATTTCAGGCTCCATCTTAAAAGCAGCAATATTTTCCATCTCTTCTAATATATTGATAACAAAATGCACCCCAGGTTGTTCAATGCCTCCAGAGTCATGACACCTGATCAAGAAAAACAAATAAATACAACAAATTTTCAAGAAAACATTCTCAGTGATCGTGTTCAAGGTACTATGGAAAATCATTATCTTATCCAGAATCATCAATATTAAGATGTAAGAAGTAATAAATTAACAAGAGTAAAACAAAACAAGTTTGAATGCCAATACAGATCAAGATTGTGAATCATAAACTATAAAAAGGTCAATCGCCAACTGTAAAAAGGAAATTAGGATAATACAATGTAATCAGGATCATACAATGTAAGCATGCAAAAGCTAAGAAAACAAGGAAACTGCCTACGGAAACAGTTGTGCAGTTCACAGAGTAGCACATCAAGAGCAACAAATGAAATTTTTATATAAGCTTGCAGTTCCAACAAAGTATGAGCTGAAGAAATAAAAGCATTCATTTACAAAGCTACACATAGTATAAGAAAACAATGAGGCATGTAACAAGGATCCAATTAATTGAAATTCCCAATTTATTTGAATAAATTAAATTTATTCAAACTAAGTAAGAGCTCAAGTAAAAAATGTTTGCATATAGGTAGATTAAAGTGTTTCTACCAATTTTACATTTTTTAGTTTTACTTCAAAATAAAGCTAACTAGTTCAAAACAATGCTCCTCACACCCATGAGGTCAAAGCCAAATCAACCACCTTAGACAATTGCAGCTAGATTTTATATCAACTGTAGGTGTCGGGCTGTAAGGGAGGGAAAAAGGAGAAATGATTTGGAATTTGAATATTAAATTATGTTATTCCCATTAAGTTTATTGCAATTTGACGTTAAGATACGAGTGATAGAATATATTAGGATATTTTTAAGGAACCAATACGAATTCATTGGACAAAAGACATGTAACTTAGTAGTTCATGATATGCTTCTCAAATTTGCATAATATCTTCAAGCTACATGATAGTTTTACTAGATTTTTTTACAATGATAAATTTAATTAATCATTCTTATTTTTTAACATTAATCATACTTGAATTGTTACGTGATATCAAAAAAAAAATTCAATAAGTAAGTTACAAAAAAATAATTTATTAAACTTCAACATATGTAAAATAGATATATATTTAAATTATAATATAAAATAAAAAAAAATATTATTTACTTTAAATGAATCTTAGTCACATTTCAATGAAATGCCAAAACCCTTTTAATTGTGTGCACGTACACAGGTGTGTCCACATGAATAAATAAGCATGTAACGTTAATTTTGTTTTAAAGATTTTAAAACGTTGTTTTAATCAGAAAAAATTATTATGTGTTTTGTAAGATAAAAAATATGATGAATTATATAAAGCAATTTGGGTACTTAGTAATAATAGAAAAAAATAAGTCTCTTTCTGATAAAATGATGTGAATACATTTGAGCTAGAGAAAACAGGAAATTATCTAAGAGTTAAAATAAGAGATTAGTTAAGAAAGATTTAAAATATGATCAGTTTATATTCCGAAACCAATGGAGGAATGTCCATAAGACCTAATGATATCCCAATTGAAATGTGGAAATATTTAGGAGACTTGGGAGTTTCTTGGCATATAAACTCTTTAATATTATTTTAAAAATTAGAAAGACGTCTGAAGAGTGAAGGAAGAGTATTTTGGTCCCCATTCTTAAGAATAAAGGGGATGCACGAGATTGTGCAAATTATACAGGAATTAAGTTGACTTGTCATGCTTTAAAATTATGGGAGAGGGTAATTGAATATAGATTAAAACGTATTACAAAAATTTCTCATAATCAATTTGGATTTATGTAGGGCAAGTCTACCATGGAAGCAATACATTTATTGAGAGGTTTGATGGAGAAGTTCAGAGATAATAAGGAGGATCTACATTTAATTTTTATTGATTTAGAAAAAGCTTACAATAAGGTTCCAATACATATTTTTCGAAGAGTTTTTGAGGGAGAGTTCTTGAGAAGAAAGGTGTTGATATGACTTATATTCAGGTCGTTAAAAATATTTATACTAGAGTTGTTACTTGTGTTCGATGAAGGAGGATTGACCAAATATTTTTCAATTTCTGTTGGATTACATCAGGGTTCGGCTTTAAGCCCATATCTTTTTGCTTTAGTAATGGATGGTCTTACTAGACAATTATAGGAGGATGTACATTAGTGTATGTTTTTTGCTGATGATATCCTTCTTGTGGATAAAAGAGAAAAAGCCAAGGAAAAAATTGAATTATGGAGGTCTACATTGCAGTTTAAAGGTCTTCATTTGAGTAGAACTAAAACTGAATACATGGAATGTAATTTTACTAGTAGTAGCTCTAGTTACAGAAGTGTAACTTTGGGTAATCAAATTATTAAAAGGTGTGAACGATTTAGAAATCTCGGGTCTATCGTTCAAAGCAATGGTGAAATAGATGAAGATGTTAATAATAGAATTCAAGTTGGTTGGTTGAAGAGGAGGAATGCTTCGGGCCTTTTGTGTGATACAAAAAATACCACTTAGACTGAAAAGAAAATTTTATAAAATGGTAGTGAGACTTGTAATGCTCTATGGCGTTGAATGTTGGCCTTTAAAAGACGAGCATAATACTTTGTTAAGTGTTGTCGAGATGAGAATGATTAAGTGGATGAGTGGCTTTACACTTAGAGACAAAATGCAAAATGAATATATCCATGATAGGGTTGGTGTAGCTCCAGTGACAGACAAAATTAAGGAAAGCCGTCTTAGATGGTTTGGTCACATTAAACGTCGAACATCTGATGATCCAATTAGGAGAGTAGATGTTACAAATTCGACTTATGTTAAGAAAGGTAGAGGTAGACCTAGGAAGACTTGGGCTTATTGAATAAAAAATGATCTAACTTTATTAGAACTAAATTAAAATATGAGTAGGATGCAATGGAGAAAAAGGATTCATGTAGCCGACCCCACGTAGTGGAATTAAGGCTTTGTTGTTTTTATTATTGTTGTTGATGAGTTTATATTCCGAAATAAGAAAGATATAAATTAAAAGTTTAATTTAAAACAAAGAGATATGATTCTCTTTTTAAAATGAAGGCTAAATTTCTACGATGGCGAAATACCAAGCATTTTTAATATTAGTATAAATGTACAGTTTCAAGTCATGAAATTATTTGATGCAACATTTATTACGAAGACAAAACTATTTAAACTTTCTTTTTGATGTTTTATCTCAAATTTTCATATGATATAAAAAATACTTTTACATTAAATTACATAAGAGTAGTTTTAGGGCTTTATCGCTTCAAATCATATATAAACTATTTTTTATGTTTTAATCTAAATTAAAGCATGTTTGGTTGTGGTAGCTTTTTTAACAACAACAAGTCTTTATCCCACGAAGTGGGGTCGGCTACATGAATCATGTTTCTCCATTGCGTCCTACTGAGTGTCATATTTGACATGAGTCAATTTAATCTGATTTCGTCTATTTTTTACCCTGCATTTTACTTATTATTTTTACTGATTTATCATAAATTTATACTTATGAAAGGTTTTTGTTGATGTTGTGTAGGTTACAAGAGTTGAATACAAGCATTTGGAATGATAAAAACCGACGTAGAAGCAGTCTAAAGCGGCGTGACCATGCAAGAAAAGGCGTGACCACACCAAGATATCGTCACCAGTATCATGACCACATCACAATCCAACGTGACCACACCATATTAACAGAGAGGTGGCGTGACCTCTGTTTTAAAAAACGTTTTTGGGGTGCTCTCCGAGGGGAGGCGGAAGGTCTTCCGCCCAAGCCGACGAGAGGGACATATACACCGATGGGGTTTACGCCCGGAAAGTATTGGAGCACAAAAGATGCTCACGGTGAGTACACCCAGCCTCTCATTCGAATAAAAAGATGTTGAAAATCCCCAATTCTAAAAGCCTGTTCGATTCGAGCCACATGCAATCATCCTGGTATTTGAAACGTCTTCCTAGTTATATTGCAAATCTTTTAAATAAGCCCTTAGGGAATTAGAGAGTTTAGTATATTGTGATGTGTGATTTGATCGAAATTTTCATTTGACAGATTTAGAGTGAGAAATTGTCATCCCATTTAATCTGATTGGGATGCTCATGGCTCTGACATGTATCTTGGGAGGAAGAACATGAAGCTCAGAATTATGGGTGCATTCAAGATTTCAAAATGGAAGAAAAGGGGAATTGATCCATGTTCGATTTCGTAACAGATAATATAGGATCCCCCCGCAGTTCAAACTTGACTTCTCCTTCTTATTCCTCTTCTTCTTCTTCTTCTTCCTTTGACTTCTCCTTCTCTCGTCCTCTCCTCCTCACAGTGTCTGTGCACTCGCATCTTTCTTCTTCCTTCGACTTCGCATCGTCTGTATCTTCCTATCCTCTCGCGCGGAGGCTCTTGCAAGCAGGGTTGGATCGGGATTGTCTGCGTCGTTTTCTTCAGCACCCGCATTGTCTCTCGCGTACTCCCATCTGCGTCGTCTTCTCCCGCTCTCACCTGAGGTCTGTGATGTTTTATGCTCCTATATTTGTGATTACTATAGTGTAGAAAGCAAAAACAATGAAATTATGTGTCTTTAATTAATCATTTTACTGTACTGCAGATTTTTTGGTTACTGTAACGGCTATGCTGCATTTTTTTTTATGATTTCATTGTAACTTCTACAGTAATTTCACTGTATTGCTATAGTGAACCGCAGATATTTTTTTTCTTTCATGTTAAAATTTTGCGCGAGAACACTCTAGATACAATAAATCACGGAAGGGGAGAATTGTTTGGCCGGTAGTAATCACACTAACAAGAAAGAGTTTGCATGGCAATATACAACAAGCATGCCCGATGAAAAATATTTCAGATGCCAGTTTTGCAATCAAGTGGTAGTGGAACAAGAAACAAGATGAAACAACATTTTGCACGCACACACAAAGGCATTAAATCATGTAATAAAGCTCCTACTAAATTTCAAGAGAGATGTATGAAAGCATTAGAAGAAGATGCCAAAGTCAAAGCACAAAATGCCAGTGTCATAAATGATATTA